ATTAAACTGATTAGCTTGTGCGCCAAGTTATTTATTTACAACTTTCACTTCAAAACGATGAAGGAGGCTACTTCTGCCTTATTCTTACCGAGTTGCTAACTAGAGTGAGAGGTTTAGGTTTGTATAGAAACTTTAATTGACAGTGAACCTAGAATTTATTATAATTATATTCAAGTTTATTTAAGTATATATATAATTCTACTCGTGTTGAATAAAGTACTGTCTAGCGTATACTCTGATTCTCTATATTTATTCTTGAATTGTGTATCTGATATAATGTCATCCCCGTTCGTGTATAACACATCGATCGTGTCTAGTCTAGTGGTAGTTTAATCGTGGTCACCGATCGTATTAACGTATAATAGTAATATATAAAGGCAAAAGAAAATAATTTTGTTCTCCTGTTATCACACAGAATGTTGGGGTGAAGTGATATATAAAGTACTATCCGTTCTCTTAAAACATTAAGCATTTGTCTGAATTAGTGGATCAGTACTCACTGTATATTGAATTTATATAACTGACATCGGAGTGCCCGTACAGAGTTAAACAAATGACACTAAGTATTCTTCTGTGAAAAGCGCAGTCATGACTTTTCCCTCCTCAGTAAACTAATCTCTGAATAGATAACTACTTGTTTGAAGAGTTGTGTGCCACGACACTGGATCACGAAGTCATACCCTAAAGAGATCAGCCCCAACGCTCTAGTAGATTGGAAGTATGTGCAGGAATATTGAAACTCCGGCTTATGATCTGCTAGTAGAATAAATTTTTGATCAGAAATAAATTTATAAACCGGCGGACTGCAAAGACCAGAGTAGTTGTCTCACCTATCTAGCTGTATTTTCTCTCTGCTGGAGACAGTATTCATCAAGCAGACCTGATTACTTTCCCTTCCTCGTCTTTGAATAAGCGTGATATAACTGCGCTTCCACTTTGATTTGAAGCACTAGCTGCTATAATTACAGGCATCGTAGAGTCGTAAAACCTTGCAGACAATATTAATCTTAGGGGACATTTATTTATAAATAAATATAAAGGAAAGCGGGTTATAAAACATTAAAAACAGTATAAAATAACTGCCAAACTAAACAAGTGTAAATTTGACGTTTTTTATCAGTTTAATTGATAATTAAAATACTGATTAATAAGTTCATGTAGCATTGCATAAAGAAATCAACTAAACAATCATCTATATACTAATCAATCTTCAAGAAGAACTATTACTGTAAAACTCTCTTCCGGTTAGTTATTTGAAGGAGGATCACAACTTAAACTATTGTCACTGGTTAATTAAATGGATGTTGAGAAGTTAACTCCGAAAGTGAAACAATATAATTTTAGAAATTTATTTAATGATCTATTTTTCATAATTCAAAGTAATTTTTTCGGGAATGCCAAATAACTTAAAATGATTACGAAGGTAATAACCATAATTAATAAGTTCCAACTATGAACAACGTTGTTCTATACAAAATTGGCCTTCTTGTTTGATGACTCACATGAATGTGGGCATAGTCATTTACATGTACAAATAAAAGCATATTGATTGAAGGGCGTGAACAAGTAACAGTTAGTTGACATGGTTTAAGTTATTTGCTTAACATAAATGCCGTTAGCAAATAAATTAAGGTGTTTTTCATCGACGTCATAGCCATTATTAACAAGGCGAAGATATAATATTAACTGAAAACAAAGTTCAACTAGACAGTAATTTTATATTTCACTTCAGAAATTATGTTTAAAAATAATTTTGGATGAAGATTCTGGTGGAGGTAGATGACCACAATTGACCAGACGTTCAGCAATCAATCTATTGACTTTTCTGTACCATGGGAGTTCATGATTCCAACCCTGCTTTTTATACTCAGATACGGTGTGACCAAACCCTTTGTTTACCATGGTACTAATGACCCTCATATTGGTTTTGTTTATATTTTTTGACTTAATTTCTTACTGTATGATTTGAATGATGCAACGAAAGGGCGAAGTTTATCAGAACTATGTGATGCATAATTGTGTAATACATTGTGAACAATTAAACCGCACATACTTATTGAGATATTTATTTACGAAAAATTAAAGGTCAAATTAGTCAAACACAAGAAAAACAATGTTATCACACCATAATCAATAATAAATCAATATTTTCAGGGTAGGTACAAGGTGAGAACATAATATTTCTGAGCACATAAAGGGGGTTTGAATTTTGCCTAGGGGCTCGATTAGATCTTAGTATGCACCCCTGAGCACTTATACAACACCACAAAGACTGATTTGATATCAACAACATAACGCGTTCGCACTAAATGTTTCATAATGGAAAAAGATGATTTTCTATCTTGTGTGCTCTTGTTCAACCATTGGAATTAATTTGTCCAATCACTCTGACATGCGTACCACAATTGCTCTTCCCTATGTATGTGTGTCTGCACATGCATGTAAGCTGACAGATGAGGTGGGATGTGGCACACTCGTTAACATGTATTTTGGTAAAACGTCAACCTCGATATGTATGAGTTGGGCTGTGTGAAGCCCTACTTATTGCTAGCTTAACTTCACTTCGATATAAGACCACTTTGAATAATATGGATAAGTTACCTAGGTGCCAGAAGAGTAGTAAGTCTCACCATTTTGCAGATTTTGCATCGGCTTATGGATAGCTAGTTGTCTTCAATATTTCGGTTAGGAGCTTTACTTTACTCTTAAACGCCATGCAAAAAATAATATCGATTCTATTCGTTCACACATCTCGCTATTAGAATTCAAAATTTCACAAAGATCTCCTGTACTATATGAGTTATCACCTGATGAACAACATATTTTCACCGAATAAGTTACTACAGTATAAAAAATTAATATCGGATCTCACTAAAAGTTCAAAAACCACAGAAGCACGACATAAATTTCCGACTAAATCCTGAGAGATATGTGTTTAGTTATTCTTCAGTATCCTTAATAAATGTACAACTAGAACCCCTATCTTTAGGGATAAAATTCTGTGACAAATGAAACAATTAACGCAATTCACACGCATGATCGATTCGAAAATCTAACCAAACAGACAAATGGTCTTAGTTTAGTTTCTAACCAGGAATTCCAACGTTTTAAATTCATTCTTATCGACAGCTGCAACTAGTATATTAGCGCAAAAACTAACAGGTAAAAGTCCTTTGACAAAAAAGCATAGAAATCAACTAAAACCATTTAGAAACAACAGGGGCTTGATTGTAACGTGCCCAAATAAAGGTGGATGTCTAGTGCTATTAGACTGAGAGATCTATGTCGAAAAAATGATAAAATAATCATCAGATGACACTAAATCCTCCAAATCAATCATGCATACGTAACACGTGGCCCAACCATCTCAGTCGGAGATCTACAACTTCATCAACTGATTTACCATCATTCCCTGATACTGTTGGGATATTCAGAAAATTATCCCAATAATTATCTTGTTAAGTATAATGGTGTCCTTGGACTTTAAATGGGCATTTCCTATTGGTCAATATTTATTTCACTTGTCAAGTATTGTTTTCTATTTTATGGTACGATGTGGTCTGTTTGATTGGTATATAAACAGAGTATTTCTGAAATATAATGATTCACATCGCTGAGGCTTGCGTTCTGGACTCAACTGGCTGGGCTAGACAGGGAAGCGGGACCAATCAGAACCCTAGACCGTCCTTACGTGTTTACGCGTCTTTGGTCCGATCGATAATACGCTGCTCCATAACCTTGCAGTCACAAGTTATAACAGATACCCTACGTCTAACCTCGCTATTACTTGCCCGGTGATCCCAGCAGATACGAGTAATATTTCTAAAGTATCTGTGATCAAATACTAGTAACTTACGGGTAGCTTCTATTCTTAATGGCCACATTTCGCAACCGAGATTCATTTAGTGATTTTAAATGCCGAGAAGTTAGTATGTATCTTTGATATTCCGTATCCAACAGTTTGGCTTCACTCCAACTTTGACTATTTAATGGTTTAAGAGCGTGAGTACTCAGTTCATCATAAAGACTTCTAAATCAGGAATCTACTACCAATTCGGACATTTGTATTATGGAGACAGAAAAATTAAAACTAAGAGGAAGTGACTGATTTTCGTGAGCTGAGAATAAAGCGTAGGATAACTTAAATACGTGTTTATCAGGACCGACTGGAAATGAATCGACATGAACATTGTCATGGAAGTGTAGTGTCAGTTATTATGGCAAGCCCATATACCTTTATTCTAACTTCCGGACATCCTATTTTATTCATTTTACTTGAGCCATATTTTGACCTTGTCAATTATTCGCTTATTAGCCTTGACTGTTTTCACATGAGCTTATATGTGTGTACACTTCATGTCCCATGACTCATTGTATGTCTGTAGCTTATTTTGTCTGCCTATAAATACTGAGTAACGCTTAATTAAAATGGAGTTGGCTTCACAGCCATCCTCCCTGTGCGTCATTTTGCTGGGCTCTGTTTCATTCACTTCATATACAAAATATATGTATTCAAATGCCATTCTCGTTAATTGACTTATTTAATTCCGTTATGGACTAACGCGATCTAAGTCGTCGATGATATACGAGAAAAGGCGATAACAAACATCCATACAATCTAAATGGAGTCAGATCAACGGGTCTCAAAAGAAGGATTTCTCCACCCTTTTCCGTTTTCGAAATAACAAAAAGAACATGACAGACTGCATATACTTCTGTTAATATAAACAATGCTCGCGTATGAATTGTCTAAGAGAAGTTATGTAATTTAAGTGGAATAATAACAATACTAGAAAGAACCATCTGACTAGTGAGCTTTGATTTCCCATGGTTGGCTAACTAAACTTAGTTTGTAATGTGACCCCCCCCCCATAAACTTTCTGTGAAATTATATTAATGTACAATAATACTTTTTCGTGCTTGTGTGTTGCTAATTGAACAAATTAAAATGATACTAAGCAAGTGAAAATGAACGGATTTTTTGTATAATTTATTTTTTTCCATTCGGTTATCAACGCCCACGTATAAAGAATTTACACATGTAAATAACAAAAATAATAGAATATTATGAAATAAATAACAATCTACAACGTGAAATTTAAAATTACATTTCTGTATACACATAACACAAAATAATTAAGATGTAATAATGAACTTCAACATTTTATGCCTAATTAAATCTCACACTACCAGTATCGTCGTCAGTGTCATTATGTAGAAAGGGCAGGATAGGACATACATGTGAGTATGCGTGCGTGTGTATATGAGTTATAAATCTACATCTCAGAGAGAAGCGAATTCACAGCGATGAATATTTCGTGGAAAAACATTCACATAGAAAGTGAAAAGTAAAATAGCATCCACATAAATGTATATAACAAGAATGGGCAAAATAACAAACAAGAAGACAGTGCAACATGGGAATTATATTCACAAAACGGTAAACAAATTATACTTTAGTTCCGAAGCCTTTTTTCAATCCTTTCTAGTTTTTTTTGTCTCATTATTATCACTTCTACTTTGATGTCTGGCTAGTGATGATGAAGGACGAAAAGTAAACGCCTCATTAGGTTGAGTGTCAAGATGATTAGCATAAGGAAGTACTATTGTTGGGAATGTAACCAATCCGAAAAGCAAACATAATCCAACTTCAACGTAGAAACCGTCCAGCAATTTTGAACATGTTCCACCGATATCAAGACAAGCCTGTTAACAAAACAAAAAACCAGAGAAACCATAATTTGATTAACCCGCGTAATTTTTTAAATGACATTTGTAGTGAGTTAAAATTATATCAAAAGATAGTTCAGCAATGTAATTATGATTAAGGGTCAGGATAGTTCCTAATTTTAAACAATTGGGAATCATCTAACATGAACGTGAACGGATGGGAACTCGGATAAACCGAATGTCTAAGACACACCAACACTTCAACACCGATAATTTAAAATACAATAGGAAGACAGGACTTTCAGGACAGCTTCATATTCCGAACAGCAGTCAAAATTGAAACAGAATAACTCTGTCCACGTAGTAACCCTTAGTGACCTTGAACACAACAAATTAGAAAACCGAAAAAAGACGATGGGATAACCGTGGCGCAATATCGTGGATCGGTTGAAGTTAGACATTAAAACCTAATATCGTTTATGATAAACATAGTCGTACAAGGTCAAAGAGAGTTAATGTGGTTGGTGAGCGTTTCATGCTGTCGTTGATGCGTTCGTTTATCGATCACACTTTACACTGAGATCAATTTTAAAAACCAGTATTAAAATTACTCTTGTTTTGATGATGATTTTCTCAAAAAGAATTACTATTTAAATTTAAGCAATAATAAAGCAAAACTTAAAGCCATTTCTTATAGCTCATCATACAATACTACTTGCCTGAATAGTTTTAGAATTCTCACAGGTAGCATTATTAGCCAACCATAACTGTCCATTTCTATAAATCTCATCTTTTGAATATTGTATATGATGAGTTATATTCATTGTATTAACAGATTGAATAGAATTAGTTCGTAAAGATAATAACCCAGCTTTTAGTAAATCAGCTCCAGAGCATTTTCGTAGAGTAAGTGGTTCGACGAGTGATAAAAAGAGAGTATTCGGCAAACTTGTAGCTATGAATTGAAAACAGTTAACGACAAGTGTTTTATTTAGTAGAGAATAGTATGGATAAGATTTATAGTGAAGATTAGTTTGTGTAACATGAATGATTTAATATGATACACACTAAGGATATCTCTGAAAAATATTCGTCTACTAAGCCATGAAATATACAAGCAGATGAATGAAGGAGTCAAAACTGACTATTCAGACTGACTTAGGCAGACACAATTGCCTTCGTAGATCGTCAAAGCACTATAATATTTACTGGTATAAGTAATCTTAAGAGACATATTCACATGTGTATATTTATATGAAAACAAAAAGTTACAAAAAATGATAGATTTATCGACTAAGTAGTATTTCACAACTTATTGGTTAGAATTTGAATAAGGTATAAACGTTCTCCGCTCAGAAAGAATCTCAATCCAAATTATTACAAATAAGGGGCTTCTGTAATCCACTAAAAATCCATAAAATACTAAATTAAGACATAACGGACCTTGAAAACGTTCTCATATATGGATCATCAAAATACTTTGCTACTGAGTCATACAGTAGGACGATATAGCTTTCTAGTGCTTCCTGATATTCAATATTTGTCTGTCTAAAGTTAACTCGTGATCTAAAACAACCTGTAATCATTCAGGAAGAGTAAAAAATACAACCCAACAGCTCAAACTAAAACGAGTAAAAATAGATTCAAACCAATAAATCAGTAGCAGTCTTCACAGGACTAAGCCATAATCATATACATAAATGATAACAGTAGTAATATCGATCTTTCCATTTTATTCCAACCCAGTAAAAGTCATGCAGACATTCTGAACAATATGAAAGGATATTTGTAGAAAAATTATTGCAATTATCATGATTTAATGGATTATTGAGGAAAAAACAGACTTAAAAGTATTAATAAACTAACCTAAGTTAGCCGCAGTATTTAACAACGTCATATAAGTTCCACCTACAGCTGGATCACTTATTTTTGCATGAAATGATACTTGAGTAATAAACATCACAGTAGAGAATACTGAATAAATAGCCAAATGACAAATCATGATACCGTAGAAAAGCCATGAGAATGATGTATGAGTTGTAGTTGATTCAAGGATGGGAGCTGACTCTTCTAATGTATGATTATTACGAATGATTGAATGGACTTGATTTGAAATTTTAAAGTACGGTGCAAAATAAATCAATGGAACAGATAATGTTGCTAGAAGTAAACTGTAAGAGAACGCTTTTAATAATAGTTATGAGTAAATCAAGTATACGGCTCATGTACAAGAGTTATAAAATACTAAGCAGTTGCTTAAACTTAAGTAGATAAAAAAAAGTATAGAGCACAGTTATTCTGTTGTATCGGGTAAAGCATTGAGGAAGCTGGAAATTTTGGAACTATTTTACGGATTATTATTGTTTATGCTTCTACTATATAATTATTACATAATTGGACTATTATATCTCTACAATCGCTGTGTTGTAAGCTTCCGTTGGCTATATAAACTATTGTTATACGGATTATTATTCCTTAGTCATTTTCAAATAATTATGTGTCGTTTGTTACATTCTGTCACTTGTATGATGATTGTGTAAAATATGATCACATATATGGGATCTGTTGCGGTCCGATAATTCATATATATACTAGGTGGTTAGAATATAGTAATAGAAGCTTGCCTGCTCCGTTTTTTTATTTGGACTCAACTGGAGATAGAAGGCAAATATACAAAAGGACCAATAACAGTTAACATTATTCTGGAATCAATTCAAGGTCAATTGTACCAGTCGAGGCGTATCACTGGTTAAGGCTTAGGATCCAAGGCTATGGTTAAAATAGCACAAGTAGGGCAGAGGAAAATACTATAGGATTGTTACTGAGAGATCTCTGCTTCAAATATCCATTCACCTGTTTCTAAATCATATTCAATGCTTGATTTGATGACGTTTTCAAACATGAGGCGGGTCACTTATTCTTTCAGCTGTAAAATACCGCAGTAGCATTTCCCATTTCAGATTACTTTAGGCCATTTACGTAAATCAGTCGTACAATGTATTCACCTATTTTAAAGACATCTAAATACTGTAAGCTTTAAGCAGAAACATTGTAGTGGTTATTATATTTTCCGCTATCACAATACTTAGCGGGAAGGATACCTAGTAGCAATCAAATTTGTTCATTTAAAACCCACTGCTGTATAAAATAAATCAACCAGTACAAGTAACTTTCAATATTTATTTGATTTTGTAGATCTTCACAATTCCGAAGGTTAAAAATGCATTCGTCGTGATATTCGATATCGTAAACCTATATACATATAAAATAGTCAATGAAGTAACATTCACTATTCTAGCTAATGATAAACAATATATAGTGTGGTGTGCGCTACTGATGTCGACACATATAAGTAGTATGTATTACCAATCGAAAGTGGAATGGCTGGAGGCAGAAGGTTGAGAAGATTGAAGGGAAGAGAACGAGAACAGAGAGTGATTGATATGGAAAAGAAGGAACAAGTAAGTCGGAGACGATTGATGGTCATTTTGCAAATGGAGTATTTACTGTATGGTTCTCAGATTTTACTGAGATAATAATAACAATGCCGTTGTTTATAGATTATCATATAGAGGAGATTGAATTTTGTACCCATTATACAGGAAATAACTGCCTATATTTTTAATGTAAAACATCCTTGAATGTTTGTATTCTTATACTCTCCTGTTTCATATACATGGTTCATTTTATCATCCTTAAGAAAGTAAGAACATAAATTCATCATTTTATTTTGTTTGATTCACGTCAGCTGCTTACAACTATTAATTTTGTATAAAAGAACATGTTCAATAATCTGATCAAAGTTTGACAAGTATCCCTTTCATTTTACCACTAACCATGTTTATAAGTTTGTATGTACTTGACAAAGCAGCCGGATTGGCCGAACAGGGTGTAGTTTGATTTTCTAAACATGTTCCAAAAAGCCCTTGAACAAGAGAAAGAAGTACTTTAAACAGGGCAAATTACTAAACATATCCTGGATACAGGACATTAGGTCGGTAATTTTTAATCTTTTAGGTCGATTAACAGACACGCAAGCCCTAGTCCTATGAAATTTGCTGGAGCCGTCTCTATCAGGCGTCAGAAACTTGATGTATGTGTTAAAAAGATGGTTGTTATGCTTTCTTTACCTTGATGACATTTTTTTCACTGCATCATGAGATTTCTTCACTTCTTTCTTCTCCATTAATGATATCATCACGTCTTTTTATTTCGATTTCTAGGATGGTAACCTTATTGTAACAAATTGAGCTTTACCCACTTTATTCTTGCTTATTATCAGCGTTTATTCATTACGTAACCACTTGTTTCTAGTCCAATGAACGTTTGTTACTATCAGTGTTGTAGAATGTTCTTTCACATAAAATATATATTTACGATATTCTATTTAATCTATTAACTCCGCCTGTAGCTCTTCTAGAGTTACTGCCGGTCCCAAGCCCGGGTAAAGGAGGAGGGTTGGGCATGGGGTTAGCGTCCCCATCCCGTAGAAAACTAACTCGCTAAAAAAACGCTAACCAGAAAAAATAATCCAAACCATTTTAACTCTGCCCTGGGAGTTAGAAGGTCTTCATTTAGAAGAATTATGACGCTTTATGGTGAAAGCCCAGTTCCTTCGGAAGCCACGAGGCCGATGCCCCTTCTAACAACCAGAGCAACAACTTTTGTAGGTACATGGAACCTCCGAACAATGTGGGAGACCGAGAAGACTAGTCAAATAGCAACGGAAATGAGGAGATACATTTGGAAATACCGGGAATCAGCGAAACCCACTGGACCCAAGCCGGACAGAAAAGGCTAGCTACGGGAGAGATGCTGCTATACTCCGGTCGCGAAGAGGAAAATGCTCCACACACTCAGGGAGTCGCTCTAATGCTGTCCAAAGTAGCACGAAATGCACTTGTAGGATGGGAATCTCACGGATCCAGAATCATCAAAGCATCATTCAAAACAAAGAAGGAGGGGATTTTAATGAATATTATCCAATGTTATGCACCCACCAATGATAGCAACGACGACATTAAAGATCAGTTCTACGAGCGGCTGCAGTCAATCATAGAGAAATGCCCAAGAAACGACCTCACCATCCTGACGGGAGATCTAAATGCCAAAGTCGGAATAGACAACACCGGATATGAAGATATTATGGGACGACATGGACTGGGACAGTGTTATATCCGAGTGGAGATTAAATTACAGGTAACTCCCGAGGACTATTCATGGACTAATATTCTTATTGTATAACTACTCAACAATTACACTATGTATATTTATATCCCTCTTATGACAAGCTTTATTTTGGCCTATAATTTATTATTGTACGATTTACGGTTCTTAAGTTATGTTCAGCTTATTAACTACTGCCTCCCACATTCACAGCCACTTTTTGGGCTTATTTGTGTACAAATATTATTTCCTATTTTATGGTACGTTGCGGTCTGTATGATTGATATATAAACCAAGTATGCCTGAAATAAACGATCTGCTCTGATTCGGAAGCTGGTATCTTGTTCTGGACTCAAGTGGAAGGGCTCGGAGGACATAGGACCAGTAAGGACGCTAGACTGCCGACACCGGTTGAACGTCATTGGTTGGCCTAGTGTAAAGATCCGTATAAGTCGTATCCGGATTGGTAGATAAATCGTGTGATAGAAAAACCAGACATCCAAGGTCATAACAACTGGCGACGGGGATTTTGGCAAAAACAAAATAATTGGGAGACGCAAGGTCATAACAGACAGAGAAACGAAAATGGAGAAAGACTTGCAAATCTATGTGCATTCAACAAATTGGTCATAGGAGGCACAATATTTCCACACAAGGTTATACACAAAGCTACATGGATCTCACCGGACCACACTACACAGAACCAGATAGATCATATTTGCATCAATAAAAAATTCTGAAGGACAATGGAAGATGTGAGAACCAGGAGAGGTGCTGACATAGCTTCAAATCACCACCTAGTTGTAGCCAATTTAACACTGAAGCTAAAAAAGAACTGGACAACTGGACAAACAGAAATACAAAGGTTCAATACAGCCTTCCTTCGAGATACTGACAGACTCAATGAATTCAAGATAGCTCTCAACAACAGTTTCCAAGCCTTACAAGATCTACTGAAGGAAGAAGAAACTAGGATGGAGGACAACTGGAAAGGTATCAAAGAAGCATTAACTTCAACGTGTCAAGAGGTTCTGGGCCTAAAGAAACACCATCATAAGGAGTGGATCTCTAAAGAAACACTGGACAGGATCAACGAAATGAAGAACAAGAAGACAGAAATTAACAACAGCCGAACACGAGCAGAGAAAGTCCAAGCACAAGCTGAATACACAGAAGCAAACAAGCAAGTGAAGAGGAGCATTAGAGCCGACAGGAAGAAATACGTGGAAGAACTAGCAACGACGGCGGAAAAAGCTGCTAGAGAAGGAAATATGAAACAGCTTTACGATACAACGAAGAAACTATCAGGGAAATACAGTAAACCAGAGAGACCGGTCAAAGACAAAGAAGGCAAGCCAATCACTGAAATTCAACAACAGCGGAACAGATGGGTAGAATACTTCGAGGAACTCCTGAATAGGCCGGCTCCAATGAATCCACCGGACATCGAGGCGGCACACACAGATCTTCCCATAGACGTCAACCCACCAACGAAGGAAGAAATCAGAATGGCCGTCAGACAAATCAAGAACGGGAAAGCAGCGGGACCGGACAGCATACCAGCTGAAGCACTGAAGTCAGACATCGAAGTAACTACAAACATGCTTTACCTTCTATTCAAAAAGATTTGGGAGGACGAACAAGTGCCGATGGACTGGAAAGAAGGGCACCTCGTCAAGATTCCAAAGAAAGGAGATCTGAGCAAATGTGAAAACTACAGAGGCATTACACTACTGTCAATACCAAAGAAGGTCTTCAACAGAGTGTTGCTAAACCGGATGAAAAATGCAGTAGACGCCCAACTTCGAGATCAACAAGCTGGATTCCGTAAGGATCGGTCGTGCACAGACCAAATTGCAACACTACGGATCATCGTCGAACAATCAGTTGAGTGGAACTCGTCACTGTACATCAACATCATTGATTATGAAAAGGCATTTGACAGTGTAGATAGGAGGACATCATGGAAACTTCTTCGACACTACGGAGTTCCTGAGAAGGTTGT